GGTTGGATCAGATTAATTTACATAAAAATTCAGTGAACCTACCGTAAATCAAATAGAAACATGGTAATTTTGAAACTGAAAGGCGAAAATTTTCTTTAACTGAAGTTTCATTTGCAGTGGGTCAGTGAACTTAGGTCCCCTTTGCAACATTCCTAAAACATCTCAAATATCGAAAAAAACACACTCATAATGAGAGACTGAAGTCCCTTTTACATAAAATGTGCATATATCCTTAAAGAACACAATACTGTACTCAAATCATAATCTCAAAAGAAATACTCAGGTTATCCCTTTCTACAGTCACAATTCATTTACTTTATTAAATGCAGTTGATAACAGACTCGAGTGAAGAATAGTAAAGATATTTTTATCGTCAGGCCATGAAAATCTTCAATGTGGTGTTAGGGACCCTTTGTAATTTTCCTCTGAAAGTTCATTAAAACTCAAAAGTAACTCTTTAAAAGGAATTGCTAACTTCAATATTCAGTTTGAATATTACAAGATCAATTATTTGAAAAAATGTGTGGTCACAATATATGGCTTCCTTTATCTACATTGAAAATAATTTAGCAAATGACTTATCGATGAAGCAACTGGCTCTTATGGCACACTCATAATCGTCCTGTTTCAAAAATGACCGACAATAATATATTCTTCAGGTAACCGCTGTAGGCTGTTCACGTAAGAAGAGAATGACGTCATTTTTGGTAATTTTGTATATCCAACATAACAACGTTAAAATTCCACTGAAATGCATTCAAAAGCAATGAACTAGTAACATTTCATTTTGTAAGTTGCTCAAGTGATAGTAAAATTTCAGACGTTGCCGAACCGAAAAAAAACTCGAAAACTGTCAGTCTTTCTTTTCTTTTCAGAACTAATCATTTCGTTTGATAAGATCTGCGTATCTTCAATATACTTAAAGCATTGTTGAAATAATCCCAACAAATTCTAAAAGTAAGTAAGGATAATAGCAGTAAAACATATCAACAGTTCAAAAAAATTTAAAAGTTCGAAATAGTGCACATGTTGGCAACGCCGTAACTTGTCATTTTGTGATGTCATTCTCTTCTTAACGTGAACAACCATACGTGACACCGTTGCCACAGCTACTCCGATCGGAGTAGATCTACTACTATTGATTATTTTTTACTCCGCTACTCCAAATCATAAAATTCTACTCCATTTTAACAATTACTGGTCGCTTGTGAAATCTCCATAGATGATCACATACAAAATCACTTTTGGGATTAAAGGGAGATTTGTGTTACCAATTTGAACCTTCTGCAAGACTTATCAAAAAAATATCTTAAGTTGTGTTGAAACCAAAATTTTTTATAAAGTTAGTGCTAAGAAATAGCCATTTACATTATTATTCCTATTTCTGTTTGAGAGTTTTCCAGAGCATTTACTTGTTTGTATTTGAACTGAAAACATACTTATTTTTAATGGTAACTGTGATAAATGAAATGATAGACTGTATAATGGACTAATCTGTTTTTAGTAGTAGGATTAAGGAGTTATATTTTTTGTTTTTGTGATGAAAATATTTTTTACATTGTTTATTAAGAAGTTATAATTTTTGTTTTGATATTTAAATTTGTTAAAAATCATTAAATCATTCATTTTGTCTTTAAACCTTTAACAATTCTGCCTTTTATTTAGACTCGGACAGATTGCTTAAAAATATCCTGCCAAATATTAGTAATGGGAATATTTCGAATACCAAGAATCGACAGTAATCGAATTACTGGAGGTCCTGAAAACTCATGAAAAAAGTGGCGTTTTCTTGACGACGTTCTAATTCTATAACATTAACAACATTTTATTGACAGATCAACACGTTCTCGCCTGGCGGGAACGTACCGATTTGTCAACAAAACGGAGAGACTAGTTGTTCTAGAACAAGAACGGCGTCAATAAAGGGCTACTAAAGTATTCGAAAACTTTGGACTGTCATTTGTCATATTTTCAAGAAAAAGAAACTCTAAACAGATTAATTCGTTTTGGAAGATTTGGATTTATTACACTTGATGAAGTCCAAGTGGTTGAAGGTGAAGTCAGACGATTTAATGTAAAGAAAGATAGATAATTAATGAATAATTTGGAATAATCCATCCATATTTACACCCTTTATCAATTGGTCGTCAAATGAACTTGTCATGGCAACACAAAAAATCGACTATCTTAACTTTACTCAAACGCACTTTCAACAGGCAACAAGCTTTTTGACACTTCTTTAGATTATTGTAAACTTTGACGTCACATTCGATCTGACCGTTCAACTACTTTCCTCACTCATTATTTGTACTATTTAATAATCATTTTCTAAACAAAAAATGAACTAAATTGAAAAAATGCGACCGGTTACCGAACAACTTTTTTTCTAAATCTACTACTATTTTTCAATTTCTACTCCAATTTCATACCTATTTCTGCTACTTTTTCTCAAACGTCTGTGGCAACACTGATACGTGATATCTTTTGGTTTGAGGTTAACGGTTAACGTTTGAGGTTAACGGTTAACGTTTGAGGATCTTTCAAATGAGCTATAACTAGATCTCTTTCCATTTGAGATTTTCAAGAGTGTAAAAGAAAGCGATACATTTTTTGCTAGAAAGTTTTTCACTTTAATTATTTCATGTAATTCGATGATTTTTTTTCTAAAGTCTTCAGATTTCGAAATATTCGAAGTTTTTGAATGGAAAACATGCTAAAAAGAAATAATTTGTTGTTTGTTATTTTTTTTATTTATATCGCACGTATCTTTATCAGTTGGAGGATACATTTTTTTAAATATTTTTGCTATGATAATTTACATATGAGTGTGACATAATTTTTTATATTTTCGAATTATATATAGAGTATGTATTTTTTTCAAATATGTACAAAACAAAAGTTTGATGTTCAAAAAATATAAGTATACTTTTTTTAAATGTGATACGTGTGATTAGTTATTTTATGGTATCTGTTATTCGATGAAATATGAAATATACATTGAACATTCATGATCTTCTAAGATTACTGGATAAGAATAAACTCTGAAGATTTTGTGAGGATTTTCATTAATTTGCGAGTAAAATACAAATATTTTATCCCAAGATTTAGAGTATTTTGTGCGATTTCCATTGGCACGGCAACATTGTAAATTAATAGCCTATAAGTGAGCCATCATGGGCCTTCTTCGCAATTTGTGACTTGTTTGTATCTTGGTAACCTAGTTATAAAAGTATTCTTTTTTGTAAAATGCCATATTTACAAGAGACACAATTTTTAGCCCCGGACGGGGCCATTTTTCCTCCAAATAAACCTATGGAACCCAGAACACACTTTTCGGAGTCACCAATTGTATATGACAATTTCTTATTTTTGGATTTCAATGATGATGGTAGGTTAGAAAATAGTTTAAATGGGTACTTTAATCCTTAATATCTTATTTAGGAAATTGTATTTTGGGAACATCGGAAATATCGGGGACCTTCTGGGAAGGCACTCTGCTCTACTTTCAAGATTACCATCATATGGAAACCTTGGATTTTCATGGCCACTTTGTAAACTCCAGTACTTCTGATGGTAAATTTTTGAGCAAAAATGTTGTGAGTAATTTCACTTTAGATCAAATTTTCTCTTGTATTGTCAATCATTTATCAGGCACATGGAAGCATGGAATCTTTTTTCAAGAATCGATTTTAAGTGTACTGGAAAACTTTATTATTGTGACGATGGTTGGTCAAAAACGTAATGAAACTCTATTAAATTTTTTGGTAACAAAAACTAAAACATGGCTCAACACAAACCGGGTTTATCTGAAAAAGTATTACGTTCCCACACAGTGTCCTGATTTTATTTTAGAAACAAAAACTACATATCTTTTTCTTGGTGTTTTCATTGTTGCATTATCTGCTTCAATTGTACTAGGCACATGTTTAGATAGCTTATATTCTAATCTACGTGATATATCAGACAATAGCTCATAAAATGACATTTTACCGCCAGAGTACTTGCAAAATATCATATAAGAATTGATCAAAAGGAGCTGCAGGATATGAACAACAAGTTTTTTATACCAGAATAATGTTTTTCTTAAAGAAGGGTAGTAGGGCGTCATCTGGTCCTGGCAGTCTATTCCGCCCATATATTTATCGAATATTACTGGAGTTTTTCCCAATGCCAAACAGTTATTTCAACACCTCGTCATGTGTTTAAAATAACGGTTTGGTGTTGGGAAAAAACTCCAGTAATATTCATTACTACACCAAAGTTTACAAACAGTTCATCACAAGTACATATATTTATTGTATTCCAAAATTGGTAAGGACTTCAGTTCAGCAACTCATTTTTTATCAGCTATATCTACCATTTGGCTTTTAAATTCTGTGGTTATTAGTTCACATCTCGTCTATCCTTCCAACCATCTGAATACTGGGCTCTTGATTCCGCAACTTTCAGTTTAATTTTCAAAATTTCAACAGGACCACCTTTCCTGTCACTGCTTACAGCTCCTGTGTAGTATGTTTTATGGTTTATTGAGGTTTTAGCTGATTGGCAGCTGATTGTCTACGTGCTGAACAACTTTTTGTGCACGGCCTTTGCCACCCTTCTCATCCAGCTGGCCTATGTAAACTGCAGAATACAGTATAAGCCCCCTTGGCTATGTCAGCATATACACTTTTAGTCCATATTTATGTCACTTATTTGCAATGTACTGCTAGAACAATAGTCTTCCTCACCACAAAATCATGGATTCGTCCAGAGAGAGGTTTAATCTGGGTTAATGTTGTTCCTTAATTTCATTATTGAAATAATAACTATCCTAATTTTATATAACCAGTCGTTTGGTTCGGTTTGGTTGAGTTCTGGTTGGTTTGGTTCTGGATTCATAGAAAAATGCAAACTACTGACTATCACCAAAAATCTATCCCAGCTCATGTGATCCGCAAAACATCTGAAATTAAATAGCCGACTGGTCCTAAAATAGTCTTGGAGTTTATTTACTTTCACATTGCACATATGGTACAACAATTCAATAAACTTCATGAGCTCTTCTTTTGTATATTTCCAATCAGTTATCCTTGACCTTTCATTACTGTCACTTGACAAAAAACAAGATTTCTGCATACTTATTCTTAGGGTTTAGCTTCTGTCGAAAGATCGATAAGCATTCGATTGGTTTCAGTGAATGGAAAATATTTCATACTGGAACAAATATCTTGCGAACATTTGTTCTCAGTGTTGAATGCTACTTTGTTCTTGGTCGATTGTGTCTTCTGTCGTATTAGCTATGACAAACAGAAAACGTTTGTATACAGTAAACAAAACATTAAAAACAAACGAAATGAATTACCATCATTTCCCTCCTTACTTTCTGAATTAAGGTCATCATCAGAACTTAAAGTTTCGTCTTAGTTATCTGAACAGTCCACTAACTATAAAATTTCATCAACATTTGGTTTATTTGGATCTCTTAAAAAAAAAGTTTATTGTCTAACAGCCTGGCCACGGACACTCGCCGATGCGAATATTTGCGCGGTGCGAATGGCGAAGCGTCTAGCGACTGAAACAAACGCATAGGAATGTACTTATGAAGCCACACGCAACAGCGACCGGCGAAATGTACCAAGCGAATCAGGTGGGCCACTTGCGGCGCTCGGCGAGCAAAACAAAGGCATGAATCTGTACGGCGCGAGCCACGGAGTCGAGCGGTAGTCGCGGAGAATAGTGCAGTGATCTAACGAGTTTAGTTGTTTTCGCCGCGAAAAATGAACACCGATACTTTTATTGCTGAATAAAAGACTGATTAAAAAGTTAGAAATACATTATTCATTCTAGCGTCAATTACAAGTTAGAGATAATTTCGATAAAGACATTTCGCTGTCGGACTCGTGGTCTGCAAACGGTGCCGCACGAATGGTCGCCTCGCCCCCCGCTTCGACGTTCGCACCGCCGATCCCCGTGGCCAGGCCGTAACAGGAGTAATCACAATTACAAGACATATAAATTAAGTTTACAGCTATGACTAAGTATGAGTACAATGGAATATAACGAATAGCATATAAAATCAGCAGAGTAACAGTGATACATTTCATATAATAATAAAAAAAACATATACTGTAGAATTGTAATAGAATTGGCAGTGTGCAGAGAGTTGAAACACAGTATTTCACTTATGGGTTGAAATTAGATTGTAGTTCGACTTGCATAAAAAATAGCTTGATACGAATTATATAATTTTTGTCACTTTATGTCTTTAAACACCTGAAGTACCTGCCTGATTATTGTCTACTTCACTCATATTAAAATATGGTGTAAAAGTTTTATAATTCACGAAATTACGAACCAACCCGAAATCTCCCTGAACAATGGCATTTAAATTTGCGGGCTGCAATAACTCTGTCGGACTGAATACTAACACATTTGATAAGAGGGATTCAGGCGCGCCATAAAGCGTCACCCGTATAAAGTGGAATGGCCAATTGCCATCATTCATACTGAATATTTCATCTTAGTTCCATACCACCAATATACGAAGAACTTTGGAAAGATTTTCAAGGAACTAGGTATGAAGGTGGTTTTTAAAAAAAGTCATACACTGCAGAGCCTTTTGGGAAGTCCAAAAGACAAAGTCGAGAATTCGGAAAAGTCTGGAATTTACGAAATTGAATGTAAGGACTGCGATGCAAAATATTATGGACAGATCCATTAAAGTGAGATATAAGGAACACAAAGCACACTTGAAATATGGAAAACCTGAAAAATCAGCAGTCGCCCATCATATTTTGCAACAAAACCATTCCATAGACTTCAGTTCTTTAAGATTAGTTAGACAAGTTAACAACAACAGCGTAGAAATAAGTAAACATAATAATATTATGAATAACGATAACGGACCAATACCAAATGGCATACTATATAGCTTGTTGAAATAATATTGTTGGGTTTACTGATTACTACAAAAAGACACATTGTAAATATATGTATATAGGCAATATTGTGAAACTAACTTTATATGGCTGAAAATTGTTCTATATATAGCTGTAACATTTAAACATACATAAGGACATATTGTAAAATAATAGAAAGGCCAATTGTAAAATTAATTTAGGGTGGTACACTTGTATGGGTGGTATTACTGATTACCTACCTGTATGATGTACCTGAATAGCATAAATAGCTTTAGTTTTGAGAAGTTTCTAGTTTTATCTTCCTCTTGAAGATGATCACTTGGTGATCGAAACACGTGTCGAGGTGTAAAAATAACGATTTGGTGTTGGGGAAAAAACTCCAGTAATATTCATTACCACACCAAAGGTTCCAAACAGTACATCATAAGTATCATTCATACTGAATGTGTTTAAATTGGTGCTTCCACTGCTTACAACTACTTTATATCTTAAGACTGCTGCATGAATCCTTCTTGTGATTTCCACATAAAAACATGAAACCTATAATATGAAAACTATCAAGTGAAACATTGCTGTTTTGAAAACTACTTATATGAAAATGTCACTTAAAAGTCATTAATACATTTGATACCTATAGTTATTTACCCTGCTAAAGTCAAAAAATGAGTTCAAAACAAGCACTGTTCCCAAATACCAGAACTGCAATTCCCTTCTCGATGCACGATTCACCAACCAAGTTGAAATGAATTGAGCACTGGGAACTGTTACAGAAAGTATACTGGTCAGACTAAATGACCTCTCAAAACTTGTTTAGAAAAGTCTACTCTCAGGAAAAACGCCTTGGAGAATGATCATATAATAAATGAGTAATGTCTGAAGTTATTGAGATTGGTGCAGAACATTAGAGTCAAAAATAGCAGTGAGGTATGTGAATTATGAATAATAACAAAGGTCCTATTTCAAACAGCTCATTACTCACTTTCATATGAATTATATAAAACATACTGCTACCTTTGATTATATTTTAGAATAATACCCTTCCAGTAAGATTATACTTTATGGCAACTACAATATCCCTGATGCATTTTTGTTCGATGAAGATCTTGGTCTGAATGTTGACTTTCTAAAAAAGTCACCGGTACTAGTTTCCATAATTTATATCAAATCAATAATATTCCAAATTCAAGAAATGTTTACTCAGATTTAATATTCTCATCAGTCATTAATATGTCTTTTCACATATAGTCAGAGGGCATACTTGAATACTGGCTATAAATCAAATCATTTAAAAGAACAATTCTTTCAGGCCAGTCGCCACTCCCTACACTGTATGTTAATGGACTGACACCTATCAGAAAACAACTACTCCCCTGGCTAATACCATGAAGGGCGTTAGATTATATCCGACAGGTGTCAGTGCAGGATTCTTCACTGAAGTTATTCCTGTATATGCTGTTGGCGATACAACTGCCGCAATAGATTTTCAATTATTGGAACACACTTGCAGACCGGTTTCGGCAAATATGCTTTTTGCAACCAGACTTGAGAATACTTGGTAGCAATTGTTTCCTGAGTAATCATCATTTTAGAACAAAATTGGTAGAAGTTTGGTGGCAGAAAACAATGTCAAAAGTTTGATTATCTTAATAAAGTTTAGGTGGGGAGGCTGAAGAATAGTAGTAGTAGTAGTAGTTTATTTGATCAGATAATGTAGTTTATACATTTATGGCAAGTCATAGCAAATTTCACAGTCATATTGGTTAAATTAAAATAAAAAAATATGTATTTATAATTAAAAGAACAATTTACGTCTAGTAACAGATTATCAATATATAGTATAAGATTTAAAATTCAGACATGTGCAATATATATTAAAATACAATAAAATACAATAAAATACAATAAAAGATCATGATTAACCGTACTTATGATAGCTCATAAGGCTTAAAGTACCTAACTGAGTCCATATACTCATCGGTACTGTAAAAGCAATTGTCTAGTAGGTAGTTTTTTAGGACTAATTTAAATTTTTTGAATTCCAATATTTTGATAGAGTGGTGGAGAATGTTATATAGATTCAGATTTAGGGAGTTTCTGCGGCTTAAAGATAACCTGTGATGACGAGTATTTAGTAAGTCAGCTGATCTGGTATTGTGGTTATGGATGTCGGAGTTTTTCAGTAAAGTATCTTTATTGCGATGTATTTCTAGCAGAACAGTATAAATATATAAAGTAGACAGAGGCATAATACCCAGACGAATAAAAAATTGATGGCAGTGGTCTCTGTATCCCAGGTTAGCCAAGATGCGTGTGGCTTTTTTCTGGCATCTGAAAGCAGCAATTGCGTTAGTAGAGTTTCCCCAAAGGAGAATACCGTACGAAAGGACAGAATGAAAAAGGGAAAAGTAAGATATTCTCATAATATAAGGGTTCGTTACATGTTTTAACCTTCTCAGAACGAAGAGGGCACAAGATAATTTGCGAACAGCAAGGTCAAGATGATTTCTCCAGCTTAATTTGTCATCAATCGTAATGCCTAGAAACGATACATTTGCCCCCTCGCGATAATTTGTATTTGTGGAGACAATCAAATTTTCGGTTTTTCTTTCATTCAATTTGAGTTCATTCTTCGTGAACCAAAGCGTAGCTGAGTTGTGTACTGTAATGACGGAGTCTTTCAAGTTAGTGTAAGACTTGCTTGAGCAAATAATTGTTGTGTCATCAGCGAATAGAAAACATTTAGTAGGTGCCATGACGTGGCATAAGTCATTTATATACACAATAAATTAGAAAAGTCCCAAGATTGAACCTTGAGGGACGCCATGCTCGATTTTTTTGAAATCAGATTTTACATTGTTTAGCTCAACACACTGAAATCTGTTTGTAAGATATAAACAAAGGAATTCCAGAGTAGTGCCCCTTATGCCATAATAACTTAGTTTTTCAATAAGTAGGGAATGTGAAACGCAATCAAAGGCTCAAAATGGCACTACAGTTCATTACATTCAATTACTTAAAAAAAATATTCCTTTTCGAATCAATTCAAAAAGTCATACATATTAAAAAAAACATGCCTCTCATGTGGACCTACAATTTTGTAGGTACGTGTGGCAGATACCCAACGTAAAGACAACAACCAACCAATGGACCGATTTCGGGGTATTGCCCAATCATTAGTTCCGGGCAGATCACTTCAGACGGAGTGAACCTTTGAATATCCTGACTAAACGCCTGCATTGTCTTTATCAAGTCAGGTATCCGAACCGAAGGCCCCCTACCCTTTCAGCTAATTGTTCTTTAGTCTAGTTCATGTTTTTTCTTATGTTAGGGTGATAGGGACAAGTCTCTATCACCTTCTTGTAGCTTGTAGCAAATTGTCAGAAGTCGCAGCGTCTTCTGTTATCCTTTTTTTGTCGTTAAGACATGTTCTTTTTTATTTATTTCCGGCGAGCATGGCTTGTAGAACCGGAAACTTCGTGAGAATTTCCTGCAGCTGCCCTAGGGCCGTTGGGAGACCCTCGGGTGAGTTGCAGGAATTTTCTCTAGTTGATACGGCTCTCGCGTATGAGATTCCGCTTCTGAGTCTATTTTGATCGACTGTCCTCGGGTTTGGGGGCTGTATTTCGTCTGTAGGCCCATCTGAGGCCTTTTTCTTATTTTCGGGGCGTTCTTGGCACCCGTGAAAACTAGCTGGATGTTCTCCCTTGCAGTTGAAGCACCGCATCAGGGAGTTTTTGGGTCTTTTGCACTCATTTGTCAAGTGCCGTCCGGCGCACTTTACACAGGCCGGGACTCCTTTACAGTTCCGCTGTGTGTGTCCGAACTTTTGGCACCTGTATCATTGTCCTGCTCTATTACGTGGCCTTTGTGTTTCTGCGGTAACGCGGACTTTTTGGATTTCTTTAATATCGTATATGTTAGCTGGTTTCTAGGGACCAGGACTAGTACGAAGGGGATACGCTCCTTGTTTACTTTACTCATACGAGCGATGGAAATGATTTCAAATCCTTTCCCTTGCAGTTCTTTTTTGATATCGCCTATTTCCAGGGCTTCTGGGACTCCCCGGAAAACGACTCTTAACGGTTTCTCGGCTAGTACCGAGTATGTGTGGTAAGGTATCTTTTTTGTCAAGGGATTTTGTTACCTTCCTGTAATCCTCTATGGATTTGAAGTGAACCTTTATCCCGTCATTTGTGTTCACCGCCCGAGATATGTTGATATTCTGCGCGGCGGTGATCGTATTGAAATTTTTCCATTTGTCCTTCGCTCGTATGGTTATTGGCGGAGGTTTTTCATTTTTTGTTTTTGTTTACCCCTGGTTTGTTACCGGGGCTTTTTCGACCTTTTGTTCTACATCCAAATCCATCTGTTCGGGTGTGTTTTCAATGTTTGTTGGGGGATTATCCTTTTGGGCTACCTGTATTGTCTTCGGATTAGACACTTCCGGGTTATCCGGTACCTATGACGTACCGGTCGTGACGTCATCGGATTTTCCAGGATTTGTTCGATCACTTTTTGTCTTATTCTTCTTCGGCTGCTGAGTTTGTACCTTTTCAGTAGCCGGGATTTTTGTTTTTTCAACGCGAGGCTCAGGTGTGGCCGCTCGTTTTTGTGGGATGTTTTCACCTTGGATTTCTTCTTCTTCCGAAGGGAGGTCGTCGAAATCTGGATCGTATCTTTCCTCTTCGTAGCTTGGCAGAGCTTCGAAGAGTTGGTAATATTTGGGTTTGCGGTTTAGTATGTTTTGTTCCATTATCTTTTCAAAATATTTCTACGATTTTGCCAGCTCTATACTGGAAACGTCATACCGATCTAGTATTGCGGCCATCAACGCAAGAACCGCGTCTCTGGAGTAGTTCCTACGGAAGTGGTGAATTCTATTTAATAGTTCTTCCATCGCTTATCGGCCTAAAATACTTTTTAGGCGATAGCGTATCTAAATGCTGAAAATTGTCACTGCTCTATAACTTTGATGTTTACTCTTCAACGTCTCACTCGCAACTTAAATAGACTCTTGTCTCCTGACTAAACAAAATTTATTCCAGCTAGTCAAAAACTCTTTCTAAGTTAATTCAGTAGGATGTCTACTGCGCCACCTGCAGACAAAGTCAGGAAACAACTCCACATACACATACTCCGGGATTGGAGTCAGAATAATGATGACATTCTGGAGAGGTGCATTACATGCCCAAAGTTCAGGTGAAAAACACCTTACCCCTTGCCTCTCACGTGGACCTACGATTTTGTAGGTACGTGTGGCAGATACCGGATGGAAAGACAACTAACCTAGTTAATGCCGTGCAGAAAGCTGAAGTAAAACCAAAAGCACCTGTGAAACGTCTTCCATTTGAAATATTCGCCCCAAGTTACTTCCTGCATCTGAAAAGCAGAAATTAATTTCACTTGGTCAGTACGACCAACCGGTAGACTGGTTTCGGAGTATTGCCCCATCATCAGTACCGAGCAAGTCACTTCAAACAGAGCGAATAGTCTTGAGTATCCTAACCAAACAAAATAAATTCCAGCTGGTCATAAACTCTTTCTGCAGTTGATGCAGAAAGAGTTTATGCGGCATTAGCTGGGTTAGTTGTTGTCTTTCCGTCTGGTATCTGCAATACGTACCTACACATCAGCTAACAAGGCGATACACATCAGAGCATAAATCTATAGTTTAGTTGAAGTTTCTTTGTTGTATTGACATTGTAGTAGTAAAATAAAGCTGAGTTTAATCGTACAGTGTGGTCCACTATTGTCGAACCTATGAGAAAAAATGTAGCAATATATTTACTGTTATTGATAACGTTTTCGTTCAATATATGCATGTGAAAAGTTATAATTATCTTCCAAATTAAATCAATACTTTGTTTATACCCGCATATTATTAATGTGAAAAGTTATAAACAATGATTTTTTATTACGATACCACACACGAAAAAAGGTATTGATGTTACAAATTATATTTAGACTTTTGTTTTTTATTTACAGGATATTTGCAAAACTTTCAGTTACTGAATATTACTGGAGTTTTTTCTCAACACCAAATCGTTATTTTTAACACCTCGACACGTGTTTCGATCACCAAGTGATCATCTTCAAGAGGAAAATTACTTGGTCACTTGGTGATCGAAATACGTGTCGAGGTGTTAAAAATAACGATTTGGTGTTGGGGAAAAAATCCAGTAATATTCATTACTACACCAAAGGTTCCAAACAGTGCATCATAAGTTTCAGTTACTGAAATGAAAATGCTTAAATATGCAAAAATTTTATCGAACACTGTCAAACGATATTAAGGTTTGCATACAGTTTTAGTATTTTATGCAAATTTTACAATTGAAACATTTTTATTTTGAATTATAGACAGTTATATTCGTGAAAATCATTGATTTTCTTGGGAGTTCGAAAGATATAAAATTGGTCAATCATTCCTTAGATGCCTGGGGTGATTATTATAATCAGCACATTTTCAACTGAGAACATACAATGATTTATGACAATATTTTTCATTCGGTGGCCTTTAATGAATAAAATAATATGCAAACCCAATACAAGATTGAAAAAGCCAGATGATTTCTAAAAAGTCGCAGTTTTAGCTAAGTAGTTTTACATTATTGTTAATAACGTATTGTTGTTATGGCGTTTGAACAATGCACAGTATGTCACACTGACAAGCAATTTTTTATAGTTTACTTTTGTCTAAATAAACACGTAAATCGAAAGTTTCAGATCGTTTGTGATTATAGTCAATTTCAAGCTTCATTGACTGGCCTAAACATTTTTTTAAAGCTTAATGAACTTAATAAACTTGAAATGTATTGCAGAAGTCCTACCCTCTGTAAAACAGTACGTCAATGCACAACCAGTATTTTTATTGGCCAAAGCTGGTCAGAATCACATTAAAAAAATGAGATATAAGAGTGTCCATTAAAAGTTTGACACACTGTATAATATCCCAATGATTTGTTTAATGGTGGTTGACAATGTTTCATGGTGAATTTTATTTGAAAATTTAATATACATAAAAAATAATCTATCTCAATATGAAAGTTTTGAAAATGTGCATGACCACAACACTAGGCATAATAATGATTCGAGTACAAACTACTGCCGCTTAAAAGGATGTCAAAATGGACCACATTTTTGGGCTGTGAAACAGAATAAATCACCACAAAAAATAAGATCTCTACCTAATAACATATTCAAAATAAGAAAATACACCACAAAACATAGTCAACCACTTTCAAACAAACAGTTATCTCACATTGGTTCATTTATGGGTATTAAATACTGCTACTACCTGTTTTTAGATAGCTTTAAGTGAAGACACAGGACATATAAATGTATTGTCTCTTGATGAAGATAATACAATTCGAACTACTAACTACTTCAAATTAATTGAGCGGGTTCCTCGAATCGAGGTGTGGAATAATTCTCATCGAATATTATGCTGTTCTGGAAGGTCAGTTTCAATTTGGGATGCTGACAGTGACCATAGAAAACCCTTGCAAACATTTGAGTGAGTTTTAATAATTGCCACAATTTTTTTATATGTTTCACAATTTATTTGTCTGAATACAAATGAATAAAAATAAACTTTACAGGGTCTTATGATCTATTCTCTTTGTGTAATAACTAGTTCTCAAACAGCTTGTATTGGAATTCAATATTTGACAAATGGGTAGTAATGAATATTACTGTGACCTAAGACTAAGTGACCATCTTCCTCAGGAAGATCGTCACTTGGTGATCGAAACACGTGTCGAGGTGTTAAAAATAACGATTTGGTGTTGGGAAAAAACTCCAGTAATATTCAAATGGGTAGTGGTTCAACAAAATCATAGAACTACTATATTTATTGGAGTAGAGTGAATAGTTTCTATTCATTAATTGATTGGATTGTTTAGGCTAGACTTATTTTGATAGTATTATTATATTTCCTTATTCAATGACTATGTGTACTTCTTACATGAGATAAATTATATTATTGCATTTTTGTTGGCATGTAATAACTTAAAAAAAAAAAAAGAAGAAGTAACTTTCAGACACAGACTGAAAGAAAGTCCTCCTGAAACAATGTTTGGACTCATCAAGATAATATCAAGTGGGCTCAAGCTGAAATCATTCACAAAGAGGATCTCTGGTTTAGGAGAAAATTCAAAGAAGCCGCGTATATGTTGTCCAACAACGCATTTAGTCAAGCTAGCGTAGAGATACGTAACATAGGGAAACCTCTAATCAAGTGAAAAACGACCAACTCCCGCCAGACGGTCATCTCCCGCTAAAACCAATGAAGCGGAAAGAGCGAAGAGGGGATAGGTGAAAGCACTCGAATGGCCTGTTAGTTTCACCGAAATGTTTATATGAAAGTAGCTGTTTCAGGAAGACTTTCTTTCAGTTTGTGTCTGAAAGTTACTTCTCTGCATGATCTACACATCCATGTATAGAGTTACTTCCTTCCTTTCTTTGGAAGACTCCCTCATCCTTCTTTTTTTTTGTTTCAAGATGGAGTAGTAGAAAGCCAAAAACTTTCTTTCCCAAAAATTATTCACTCCTAAAAAATATAACCCCTTCAATTCAAATTTATATACATATTTACAGATCTTACTTTTCAAAAAATTTTGTATAGTAAAATATTTGTTTAAGTATTAAATATTTCAGTGGTTACTGGAACAGTATTATAACTATCTTCTCTAGAAATACTTTGATTAAGTCATAAGGTATCTGAGATTCGACAGTAAATATGTAAAATATATTTGATTATTCATAATAATTGCCAGTTTACTTTTTGCCATTCGTCAAGATAAAACTATTTTTCAGGGATTTTCACACAGATCGTATCACTTGTTTGGATACTATGAAACAAAATCCAAATCTATTCTTAACTGGAGCTAGAGATAGAATGGCCTGTATCTGGGACTTACGAAACTCTATTCCATCATCTGGTAAGATCAAGATATATGACATGTCAAAAACAGTATTTTGTTCTTTTCAGTTCTTTATATCAATGAATTCTCAACTGTGACGAGTATATCATGGAATCAGATGGATAACAACTACATCATTGTTGGAACCCAGGCAGGCGATGTGTACTTATTAGACAAACGTGAACCTAAAGACTTTGTTTCTACTCATCATTGTTTCAATGCTCCAATTAACCAAACAGGCTTCAATGGATCGAAGAAATTTGCAGTTTGTGGTGACATATCCGATGTTTTGATAGTGAATTGTGTGGGAGGCAACCTTGAAACAGTTTATCAAAATGACAGTCATAATGGGCATGTGAAAGGTTTGAAGTGGCATAAAGGGAATTTGTATACCTGCGGTTTTGGAAAATGTATAGTAAAGCATGTTATGAAAGAAAAATGTTTGTAAATCACTGTATGTACATGTAAATGGTACTGAGAGGCTGAAAAGATTTTTCCCGTTTTGCCATTAACAATTAAAAAAGGTCATAGACCGGATTTCACTTGAAAAAAAAAACTTTCAAATATGTCAATTTTTATAAACATCTATACATATATTGAAAGTGTTATATTTTTAGGAGAGTTTAATTTTTTGGAAAGAAAGGTTTTGGCTTTTTTACTTCTCCATCTTTATATAAAAATTGCTTTCTTCCTTTCTTTGGAAGATTCCCCCATTTTTTTATAAAAGGGAGAAGTAAAAAGCCAAAATCTTTCTTTCCCAAAAAACCTATACATACTTATTCATTCTAAAAACGTTCAACCAGGTAGTAATATTTACAGTGTACCCAAATTATGAATAAAATATGAAATTTTTGAAAATGATTTCTTTATCATGAAACTTGATATACTATTATCAACTCTATTTTCAGAACAAATTATCTGTGAAGGGCCTTATTGTATGGACTGCATCTTGTTATGAGCTCGTTTTTATAGAATTCAAATTCTCCTATGTTTAGACGAATTCTAGATATAGAATCTGAGTACTCATATGCTGATAAAAATGTTACGAAACAATTACTGGTTCGAAAGCACAAACAGTTTTCAGATGGTGGTATAGAATTTTTTTTGAGAATGTTTTATTTTTATGACTACGAATTATTTTGTTACAAATACGGTTAAATTGTAATTGATGTAACACTGAAATACAATTATTCAGAAGTATCAACAGATTTGAAACAAGCGAAATAGAGGTAAATTTTCAGTTTGCCTTTTTCTTCACTTCAGTAGATTCTCTGTTATTTTTCATATTATGGAAGATTGATAGCTGCTCGAATTATCTAAATAAAACTTATTAAAAGTCAACATAAATTTTCGTTTTTGTTGTGCGTCGTTCGCCTAAAGGTGCGTATTTACAAAAAAAGCGAGAACGAGCAAACAAGAGTGAACGAGCATTCTGCATCAATAATCGTCTGAAGAGTACGGGCTAGCGAACGTATGCACCTTAAAGGTGCGTATTCACCAAAAAAGCGAGCATGAGCGAGCATTCGTGTATGTTTGCTCGACATATTGATGTCGCTCGCTCGCTAGCCCGTACTCACCAGACGATTATTGATACAGAATGCCCGTTCACTCTTGTTTGCTCGTGCTCACTTTTTTGGTGAATATGCACCTTAACATATCTACGTTCAGTGAATCGTGAAATTATCTCATTTTTGTCTGCAAACCTAGGAAAATAGTTATCCATCAATTTGTTCACTGATTACAAAAAAAACTTAAAACCTACGAAAAGTGCCATCTGATAGGAACTTAACTGATATGTTAAACGTTCATTAGTCCTGGAGAATTAGTGCTAATATCGCTCACACATTGATACTCTAGTGAAATTGTTAAAATGGTTGTAAATAAGTGCTCAAACTGCGATGAAAATATCGGCGATAAGTCTGTCGCTTGCGATAGCTGTCATATCATCTCAGATCCAACGGAACAATGTACAGGTTTGAGTTCTTCCGAGCTTCGAGCTGTTTTAATTCAGAAGAGAACAACCCTGTTTTACTTTTGCTATGACTGCCGTCAGGTATTCAGATGTGTGCCCAAAATTTTAAGAGAAATTGAAAACCTCAAGTCTGAAGTTACCACACTCAAAGCTGAAATTCGTAAATAAAAGAATGAAAAGAGTTACTTTCCAGCAACTGATGATATCATAAATGAGCTTCATGAACGTCAAAAAAGATCAAACAATTTATTGATCTATAATCTACCGGAATTATCAACTATATCCTGTCTGTTTAAAATCTGTTTTTCCGTTAATCAGCTGTCGCCCCCATACGAACGACAACTCTCAGAAGTTGAGAAACTTGTGCGAGCTAAGTACTAACGAGGTCTTACCTTTCAACGTGTGGTTCTTAACACGGTTGCAGAATCATCCCAGGATAAATTCACTCGAGAAAAAATCTGGTCTAGGCGGGAATCGAACCCACGGCCTTCCGTGGTCTGGTTGTGCGCCCGATCGTGAGTCGGGCGCACTACCAGGCCAATTCCACAACCATCCGAAGATATTAACTAAGTCTGAAGGGGCGGTAAACGTCAATGACACAAATATTCTACGTTTTGGGAAGAACAAAAATGGTCATCGACCAATTAAAGTGTTTATGTCTTCTGCTCGCGAGGTGCATGAAATCCTAAAAAACAAATTTAAATTAGGCCATGCTAACAAAATATTTTTCCAACCTGTGAAAAATGAACTTATAGTGCGTCAACAGGGTGGAGCAGAATTTGTCTATAAAATACTTCAACAATACATCAAAAATCATTTTAAAAAACTAAAACCGGGCAGCCCTTCGCTTTATTACCAAAATGTTAGAGGTCTCTTAGAACTAAACTGACAGACCTCAGTTTAAATGTTAGCAATACGATATCATTATCTTCACTGAAACCTGGCTTACACTGAATTCACCGACGCCAAATTTGGGCTTTCCAACTACAACGTATATAGAACTGTCGTCAGCAGGGGTGATGGTGTACTAACAGCTATCAAAAAATCATTTCCTGTCTAATTCAGTCTGATCCTTCGATCGAACAATTGTTTGGTCTCTTTAATAACAATTCTATTATTGGTACGGTATATTTCCCACCTAAATCTTCACCAACTTTATACCAATCTTACTTTGTGGAGCTAATTATCTTGAACGAGCAATATTTTCCATCAGCATTATGGGAGGTAGAGAATTATTGCTCTGATGCTTCTCCTCTGCTTCTATCTACTCAATCTGAGATATCCAAACGATATCCAACATGTGTGCTTTTCCCAATCTTTTTCAGTCCAACGAAATATTCAATGATAGAGGAGTTACTCTTGATCTCATCTTATCACCAATAGATCTTACGGTACTGAAGGCTGTTGACATCTTAATTCCTGAAGACTCGCATCATCCTCAAACGAATATTCATCTGGTGAAAAGTATTACTATGACTTCTTTCTTGCTGACTCGTCCCTTGAAGCAATCGATTGGATGGTGCATTACAAGGAAATGTACCTTACCTTATGTAAGTTACTCATAACATCGCAGTTACATCGGGTGTTCCACAAGGTTCACATTTGGGACCATTATTTAACCTTTCTATCAACGATCTAATCGGCTGTTTCCATGAAAGTGAAGCTTTGCTATTTGCCGACGATTTAAAATGATTAAAAGTGAAGCTGATACATTGTGTCTACAAAACGATATAGATTGCCTATCTAACTGGTGTTCGCAAATGCCAAATTCCTTTCGTGGAACACATCCCCCAATCACTTTCGAATGTAGTATAAATAATCGGACCTTACATTCTGCTATTGAAACCAAAGATCTAGGTGTGATCCTAGACATCACACTTAGCTATAAATCACACATTTCCGCTGTAATTCAAAAATCTATGAAGATGCTTGGCTTTATAAAGAGAACCACGCGTGATTTCACCAACATCACTGCTAATAAATCTCTTTATTTTTCCCTGGTTAGATCTCATCTCGATTATTTTTCCACAGTTTGGTCCCCTTATTATGTAACACAAAAAGTGAAACTCAAGGCCGTACAGCACAATTTCCTGCGATATATTGCCTTCAAGATGTGTGTATACTATGACTATACTGCATTGGAATGCATTTTGAACATACCTTCTCTTGAGGCTCGCAGAAAACATAGAGATT